GGGAAAGCATTGTTTCCTTTTTAGGGTTTACTGACTCCTAGTTCTGTTGCCAGCAACCTACAATCCTGGAGTGACATAAGTTTCTATTTTCTAACATGTGACCCAGCTGACAATGTATTTTAGATGTTTGGATATAACCCATGTGTTTTGGAGCAGCTCTCTCAAAAGATAACTTGCTTTGTTTGAGAGGTTGATTGTGGCTATGCATGTGCTCTGTGTCACAACCACAGACTGGGTGCAGGCCTGAATTTGCCACAGACATAGATGATCAAAGTAGAGCAAAAACCAACCAGAGAGTGTTGTAGAATTATTATTGTTGGGAGTCCTCCACTGTTTGGAGGAGGTGGGGCTTGTGTAAACAAGATGACAGAGAGAAATTTGTTTAATGGATGAAATCAACCACTGCTCAACAGGAAATAATCAGCTGTACAAACAAAGAACAGCCTTGGCTGGACAAAGAGAATGGTCTGTTGCAGCTTCTAAGCTTCTATGTGTGATAATTGTATAATATGTGAAAAACAAAAGCAGCCCTATGTGACACTGCCACATCATCCCTCTGAAATAAGTCCCAATATGCATAGAACCAATGCCATGTGACAGAAAGACTGTAAATTTGTATGAATGGTGTGATCAGAGTATTAACCACCTGACAGTGGGAGAGTGAATTCACCACATTTGCAAAGGCCGCTGCTGGTCAGCTCAGTTCTTAGCACACGCAGCCATCTGCAGCTGTTGGCACAACGAGGAGTGGCTTGAATTATGGGATGAGGGAGTGACGCGCGTTCCCATTTTATCATTTTTATTTATTCTGACGCAATCTTAATCAAAGATAGTCTATTCATAATCATGATTGAACCAACATTTTTGTTATCATAATGATAATTCTCTGTGATGTATGTAATCCTTCTATTGATTTATAGACTACTGGGAGCCGCTTTGAAAGCCCAACAAATACTGATATCGTTGGTCAATAGCTTATCACAAAGATACCAGTACTGGTTTATATTGTGGATGATAAGTGAAACTGTGGCAAAGAAATGCCAAAGACATGTCAGAAGTCATTTAAAAACAGTGTCACCAGTACATAGTTCATCCACCAGAGACGGCGCTGACACATCTACTTTGCAAACATTACAAAAAGTCTAAGGGATCAAAAATGTTATGAATGAAGGCAAAACAAAGAAAACACTCACCATATCATTATAATATTTCTCTGAGTGGTTTGGCTCTCTTCACTGTTGAAATAATGACAACACAGCCATCTGTGGACATGTGTTATTTATCAACTGTCCATGGTCCTGCTAGACTCTTATGCTAACATACCATGTTTAGTTATTTATTATTAATATACTAACAACAGTGATAAACATCTGCTCTGCCTACAGGTAAAGCACCGCTGTAATGTGCAAACACAGACCCATTAAATAAGAATGAGTAAACACTCAGTGGTGAGATTTGTTGGAGGCAAGAACCATGTTAAAACAAGAGGATCCTGAAGTGACATACCATGACGAAGTCACAGAAAGGATTTGAAATTCTTGGCATCGTCATTGTATCACAGCCTCTGAAAGATGCTGAAAGAATGCTGACATTTTGTAGGGAGCTCCGATGTCAGCGCTGAGTGCAAAATCACTACATAAAAGGGAAGAAAGGCTTGAACACTGTACATGTCTTTAATGGACAGAACATAAACATTGGCTCACCACTGACAGCAGATGTTGAGTGATACTGTATTTTGCACAATAACTAAGCACTGAATGAGGACATCTTTGGTTTTTAATAACAATTTGGTAGTCCTGGCTATGAAATGACTTGACCTCATCCAACCTGTGATCAAATACAAACATATAATGTAAATAGGGATTAACAAAGCAGGAAATTAATACTACAACAATAGCACAACATTAATCCTGGTGTTTGGTACATATTGTACTGACTGCTGTCACATAGTTACATGAGTCATAATAAAGTGATCTGCCGATGTTTATGTGCACAACAACACTGTGCGCACTGGAGCTGAGAACTGACTCGAATCTACAACCTTTGAAGCATCAGTATGAGACTATGAATGTCAATGCCACATCCTGGAAAACAGGAGTGCCACACGTCCAACAGCTTGTGCCACCACGCGCGCGCGCGCACCCACAGGCAGACAGATACACACTCACCATCTCTATCTTTAATTTCCTGATCTTTTCATCCAAACTCTTCTTCCCCGTCTCCTTACTGGAGTCGTGCGCGGCACTCAGCTTGGCGTCTCCACGGAGAGAGGACACGTCTTCCCGCATCCACCTGAGCAAACCCTCGGGAGTCTTCCGGCCGATTTTCACCTCTATGTCTTTCAGATCTGGGATAGTCTCGCTGGCAGTGCCTTCATCCATCATGTCCGTGAGTTTAAAAAGAAGAGATCCGCAGGAGATTGATTACGTCCTTTTCGCGTCTTGGAAATTGTTGAGAGAGTCACATCCTATAGGGCTGCACGGCATCCTGTGCGACTCCAGCTGAGTTGGACTGCGCCAGGAGAGAAACAGTCTGACAGCACTACCACAACAACGTGTGGTTCTTCCAGTAGATAGTTGCAAAGAAAAATTATCTTACTTTGCTATATCATCATCTTCAGTCAAATAAACTAAGCCCCTCTTAACATACTGATGATCATTAAGTGGAAAATATCAGCAGTTTATTTTCTGAGGCTTGTTGATAGATTCCTCCACAGCGGTAATGAAAGCCTGATCCCCAGCGTGCAGTGTCCTGTGTATAATCACCGTGTAGGCCGAGGATGTGTCTGGTTGTGGAGATCCTTACGCTGAGCTCCACTGCGCAGATTCCACCTGCATGATGACAGCGACCAACTACCGCAGGGTGGGAGAAGCGCTCCAGACTGTTAAGGCAGCCAGAATGACTTTGAATAGCATCCTGTGTGACTTTCAAAATAAAATGTGTAAAGGAACACGTGATTTGAATAGTATGAGGTACCAAAATAAAGCAACAAACACTAACTGGACAAAGAAAACAAGCAATGCAATAATGTATAATACTCGTGTACAGGTTTTGCATTCATTAGATCTCAAGACTTGGGAGTAGGCAAAGGTAACTGGTTAGGGTAATGTCAGGTTAAGCATCAAAAACCATGGCTGGTTAGTGGTAGGGTGCAAGTTAGGCCCAGGTTAGGGAAAGGTATATCTACAGGAAAACACTCTCCACTTCCCCAAGAATCAACTCTCATGACTTGGGATCTAACACTAATCATTCAGAATCCTTCTTAAATAAAAGTATAGATTATCAGCACAAAATACATAAAGTAAAAATACTGTTTCTACATGAATGATGAAGGTCTCAAAACAAGATTAACACAGAGCCCCTCTACAAGACAGGCTGACAAAATAAGCTAATAATATGGAACCTCTTTTGTTTTCATTGTGGTACAAATTCACTGAAAAAGTAGCAAAGTAGCAATAATCACTTTCCAAAATCCACCGACGTATATGCGGTGACGCTGGATTTTTCAGATCCTCTGTGTCTAGCATGTGTGCATGGTTGGTAATCTTGCGCAGCACTGCATTAATGTGGCATTACACAGTGCAGGCAGATTCTCTCTTCAGTGAGTCTGGACATCCTCATATGCAACTTAGGGCATTGCGGCTGCAATAATACATCAGGTTACATCTTGTGGTTATGACATTGGTGGCTTGATTTGGCAATGTTTTAGTGTAATGAAGATTAAATGCTGCTATAGATGGAAATGCACAGGGTCAGTTAGAAACTTCAGTAAGGTTTGTGGTGACTATATTTTTGCTCTGACATTTTCCTCATGGCTGGAAAGAATATTAAAATTGAATTAGAAATTGATATGAGTAGCTTGTTTCTTCTTCAACTGCCAGTTAACAGGGACAAATGACTAATAGGGGTTTTAAAAATCCACATTTTTATTCACAATATTTTGAATTTGAAACAAACATGGAGCTAATTTGCTCTGCTACAGTGTACTGAAAATGCTGCATACAGTGTATGTATTACACTCAGAGACACTACAAAGAGACATTCAGTTGTGTAATTTGCAGTCAGAGAATGCCTCTGGAGAGCTGAGATGCTTTTCACTGTGAATGCTCACTCAGGGTGCCAGGAAGAAGCTGACTAAGTATGGAAATATAGTGATGAAGTAGCTTAGAAAGGAAGAGGAGTTTTCACATATAAGCACTAATTGAATCTAGTAGTCTGTCTCAGGGGAATACAAATTGGATTAGGAGGGAGTCTGCAAAAAGATTGTTCAAGAACAATAGTTTGAAAGCAGGATTCAGGATGGCTTTGAGCTGTCTGGTCAAATCTGATATGACATGAAGCTTGGACACAGAATGAGGCTACTTTTCTTTTGTTTGGAGTGGAGAACACATACTGTATATTGAATTTTAAAATTCTTCCATTCTTAACAATGCTGTCCACCAGGATTATACACAGATAGTGAAAGTGTAACAAAGGTATGAACAACTGACGAGAGCTCAGCTTAGAGGGAACAGGACAGGAAGATATTAAGTCTGGTATTAATGAGGCTTTCCTGTTGTACTGTGGTCCTTTGTATTTGGCATCACATCTCCTGGGGATCGCAGATTTCCTAGCTATGCTCATGTCAGTATAAATTTAATGTCTCTACAGAAGTGAAATTTAGAGAAAAGTTATGCTTGATTTCTGTATGGTGTCTGCTCAGACTCTATACTGTCCACAAATTAGTGGGCTAAATTTCCATTGTGATCACATTCAATGGGAGGAAATCCATCTTAAAACACCTTTTGAATTAAGTGTTTGTGAAAAGAACAAGA